CGACGTAACTGCAATGTGGTAACCCTCCTAACCTTGGACGCGGAGCGCTTTGTAGCTAAATCCAAGCCAACGCCCGAGCGACGAGGCGCCATTTTAACTTAAAATAGATAGACAAAACCTTCCACACTGACCGTCACTTGCCGTCTTTCTCGCGACCTCATGGACGTTCCCGCGGACGATGTGCTAGCGACCGAACCGGTGGCGGCGCCGTCGGCGATGACCCTCGACTTTCACCTGTCCGACACGCCGACGCGCGTGTCGCGCCCGAGCCGGCTCAACACGCAGATGCTCGGGCAGCTCCAGACGCGCCAGTACCTCTTGACGCTCGGCTTTTTCATCAGCTGCGTCTGGAACCTCGTGGCGCCGCTGAAGGCGTGGGCGCTCTCTCGGTACGGCTTTGTGTCGACGGCCGACACGGTCGTGCTCAACGTCAACTGGAACACGGTGCTGAACGGCCGGTTCCTCACCAAACTCTACACCTCGTCCGGCATTGCGCTGGATGCGCCGCGCGCCGCCGATCGGTACATCAACGTCTTCTTGGACTTTATCGTCGTGCCGCGGTCCGAGCTCACGTGGGCCAAGTCGCTCTATAACACCGCCGACGTCTTCCAGATGGACTTGGGCGGCCGGTGCATGCGCCACAGCCTCGACGGGCCGCGCCAAGTCGACCAGTTCAACAAGGACATTTCGGCGTACGAAGCGAGCGGGTACCCGCTCTGGGGCACCGAGGTCATCCGCACGATGGTGCCACCCGTGCCGGGGTTTGTGCAGCTGCACGAGATCTCGGAGGCGATGCTGTGCCTCAAGGGCATGCCCCTCGAAGACTACGTCAACGTCCAGTTCGTCTCGTCTCTATTGCCGTACAACAAGTCGTCGGACGCGGCCGCGATCGCCATGTGGCGCCAAAAGCTCTTCCCGCACCTCAGCGAGTGTCTCGCGCGCCGGCAGCAGCTTCTGGCGGCCGCCGACCCGCCGGCCGACGGCGTCGCCGCGCTCGCCAAAGAGCTCGCGACGACCTTTAACACGGGCTTGGTCAACATCGCCGGCCACGCCCAGCTCTACACGCCCATGACCTTCCTCGACGGATTCGTCGACCTCTCGGGCCTCAAGTCGGGCTCCGTGACGTACCAGCTCAACGGCCGCGACCCATCCGCGCTCCTCTTCGCGGGCAGTGGGTACCTCGACGCGATGATGACCCCGCGCGAGACGGCGTGGTGGTGCTCGATCCAGTACGTCGACCCAGCGACCAGCCGCCCGAACGCCACCCAGTGCTTCGAGAAGGTGGCGACGACCCTCCCGTCCGTCTTTCTCGGCAAGTACGTGGTCGCAGGCGCCGGCTCGCGCTATGTCGACTCGGCCGACTTTACGCAGGGCGGTGCGCGTGGCGCGCTCACACCGTACGCGTACAAGTCGAGGAAGCAAGCGGCGCTCGCCGACGTCGAGTACGTATCGCGCGGCAACCTCTCGGCGTGGAACGGCCTCTTCAAGCAACTGGTCGCGACGGTCAACAACGCGCCGATCGTCGTCTCGGATGCGCTCGAAGAGCTCTGCCTCGTCGGCGACGGCTGCTTCAACGTCTGCATGAACGAAACCGCGAGTGGCGGCACGACGCTCACCTACATGCGCAGCGGCGTGTGCGTCTCGGCCGTCGACAAGGTCGCGCACGGGCTGCTTGACTGTCTTTGTCGATCTCAAGTGCTTTGGGCTCGGCACGGGCTCCTCCAGCGTCAAAGTGACGTATCTCTCGGCGGATGGCGTGCGCCGCACGGTGATTGCCAATCAGACGGCGAGTCCGGCCGCGATCCTCGCGTGCTTTATCGGCGGCCGCGCGCCGCAGTCGGACTACCCGTCATACGTCATGGACATGCTCTCGCAGGGCACGCAGGCGTCGATTGTAATGACGAAAGCCAACGGCAGCGAAGCCATCATCCTCAACTTCATCGCGCTCCTCTCGCTTGCGGGGTATGGGTATTTCTTTGTGCGCATTTCGGTCTACCTCTACGAGACGGCCAAGTGGATTCGGCGCATGCCCGAGAGCAGCCAGAAGAAGCAGCTGCTCTATAGCGTCGTCAACTGCAGCATCAGCAGCGTCATCTGGAGCCACTACCGCACCTCGATGCAGTTCATCGGGTTCCTCGGCTTTATCGCATGGCACCTCGGCACGAGCAGCAGCTCGTGTCAATGGGATCAATCGATCGCAGACGTGAGCGTCGACGCCGCGTACAGCTGCAGCATCGACAGCCTCGGGCACTTTTCCTCTTTCACCGAGGTCGTCCGGCTGTTTTCGTACTCGTGGGTGTTTTACGCACTCGTGTTCATGGACCGCATGCCGGGCATCGCGATCTACATGCCCGGCTACATTGTCTCGGCGCTCCTCCTTGGGTTCGTGCCGCTGTCCGTGCTCGCGATCGTCGTCGCCGAGATCTGCAAGGCGCGCCTGCAG